CTAAATTTTCGACCTTGAGGTGAGTTTGACTCTCTCTCTTTTTTTTTCTCTCTCTCTCTTCTCTCCTCAAATATAGCCTCCTCTCTCTCTCTTCCTATTCCACCTTTATTCCACTCTCTCTCTCTTTTTTTTTCTCTCTCTCTCTCTCTCATCTGTGGGACGTCACCGAGCAGCTGGTCCGATTAGTGACGTCATCAAACAGGTAGTATGGTGACGTCATCAACTTGTTAGCGTTTATCACCTGACACTGACGTTAGTAGGGCAAGGTGAAGGTGAGAGAGAGAGAGAGAGTTACGTAAAGATCTCTCTCTCTCTCTCTCTCTCTCACACCCAACCAACCACTCAAAATCCATTAAAAACAAAAAAAATCCGGATTCCTCTACAAAAACACCTCCAAAAAATTACTCAATCCGGATGACCTTATAAAAACAAGTCCCGCTCCTACAGTCGATGACGTCACAAGAAGTATTGGAACACGGGGTCAGGGTGTAATAAACTTTCTCTGTATTCATCACATATCTGTAAGTATTTCTAAAAGGTCTATTGTTCTTGGGTGGAAGGTGTTATTTTAGGGTGTTATTGTAGTGATGATGATGATAACAACAAGATAACACACCCACAATGCTCTTGAACTTTGATCCATATAAGGTCAAGCAAGGAGAGGTCAACCCTTGTTTAGAAAGGTCAAGTATTTAGCGACCTCTCATAGGGATTAACAGACAGACAGACGGACGGAAGATCTGTTACATTGACAGACAGACAAATGGACAGTATGATGGCTGATATAATAACAATAACAATAATAATAATAATAATAATAATTTTTTCTCTCTCTCTCTCTCTCTCTCTCTCTCTCTTCTCTCTCTCTCTCCTCTCTTTCTCTCTCTCTGGTGAGTGAGAACGTATCTAACTGACTCATAAGCTACCACAAAAGATGGATTCTCAAGGTTCTACGTTAAGTTTTCCTCCTAACTGGTGATGTGAGAACGTATCTAACTGACTCATAACCTACCACACAAAGATGGATTCTCAAAGGTTCCTACGTTAAGTTTTCCTCCTAACTGGTGATGTGAGGACATCTAACTGACTCACAACCTACCACACAAAGATGGATTCTCAAAGGTTCCTAAGTTCAATTTTCCTCCTAACTGGTGATGTGAGGACGTATCTAACTGACTCACTTAAGCTACCACACAAAGATGGATTCTCAAAGGTTCCTAAGTTCAATTTTCCTCCTAACTGGTGATGTGAGAACGTATCCAACTGGACTCACTTGCTACCACAAAGATGGATTCTCAAAGGTTCCTAAGTTCAATTTTTCCTCCTAACTGGTGATGTGAGAACGTATCTAACTGACTCACTAAAGCTACCACACAAAGATAGATTCTCAAAGGTTCCTAAGTTCAATTTTCCTCCTAACTGGTGATGTGAGAACGTATCTAACTGACTCACTAAAGCTACCACACAAAGATAGATTCTCAAAGGTTCCTAAGTTCAATTTTCCTCCTAACTGGTGATGTGAGAACGTATCTAACTGACTCACTTAAGCTACCACACAAAGATGGATTCTCAAAGGTTCTTAAGTTCAATTTTCCTCCTAACTGGTGATGTGAGAACGTATCTAACTGACTCACTTAAGCTGCCACACAAAGATGGATTCTCAAAGGTTCCTACGTTAAGTTTTCCTCCTAACTGGTGATGTGAGAACGTATCTAAATGACTCACTTAAGCTGCCACACAAAGATGGATTCTCAAAGGTTCCTACGTTAAGTTTTCATCCTAACTGGTGATGTGAGAACGTATCTAACTGACTCACTTAAGCTGCCACACAAAGATGGATTCTCAAAGGTTCCTACGTTAAGTTTTCCTCCTAACTGGTGATGTGAGAACGTATCTAACTGACTCACTTAAGCTACCACACAAAGATGGATTCTCAAAGGTTCCTACGTTAAGTTTTCCTCCTAACTGGTGATGTGAGAACGTATCTAACTGACTCACTTAAGCTACCACACAAAGATGGATTCTCAAAGGTTCCTACGTTAAGTTTTCCTCCTAACTGGTGATGTGAGAACGTATCTAACTGACTCACTTAAGCTACCACACAAAGATGGATTCTCAAAGGTTCCTACGTTAAGTTTTCCTCCTAACTGGTGATGTGAGAACGTATCTAACTGACTCACTTAAGCTACCACACAAAGATGGATTCTCAAAGGTTCCTACGTTAAGTTTTCCTCCAAACTGGTGATGTGAGAACGTATCTAACTGACTCACTTAAGCTACCACACAAAGATGGATTCTCAAAGGTTCCTACGTTAAGTTTTCCTCCTAACTGGTGATGTGAGAACGTATCTAACTGACTCACTTAAGCTACCACACACAAATGGATTCTCAAAGGTTCCTAAGTTAAGAATCCTTTCAGAATCCATCTTTGTGTCGTAGTTTAAGTGAGACAATCAAATTCACACATGAAAGTAAAGGTAGAAACTTAAACATGAGAAATACTTTACACACGACATATCATCGTAAAAATTTTGGTGATTTGGGGAGATTTTTGGTGATTGTTGGTGATTGTTGGTGATTGTTGGTGATTGTTCGTGATTTTTCGTGATTTTTCGTGATTGTTGGTGAATCCGTGGTGTTGCAGATTTTCTAATAGAGCTTCAGTAATCACTTTCATAATACGTTCCTTCTCATAACAATGAAATAACTTCACCTTGTCCCCAGCTACACCGTAACCTCTCCATTAACCATCGTTCACTCACTAGAATCACCTATAACACCATTAATATAACTCATATATAACCGCCTATATTATCTATAACATCTATGGTATTTTATATAATCTGGTTTGTGTGGTATTCATTAGTTGAAATTAGTTTTTGTTAAGTTTTTTTTATGAGGAAAGTGAAGCATTCATTCCGAAACGTATTGGAATGTTATTATTTACAATGGTAAGTCATGATTGGTGTGTAAGCGACCACGCCCCTTGGCTTTCGTTCGTGGATTAAATTTACAAACTCAATTCATATTATTTAATCTTCTATATTAATCCAAGTTATAATAATATCAAAAATATATTATATTTATTCTAATTAATATATAAAACGATTAAATATCACGATAATTAAGGTGGTTTGAGTAAAAATAAATCGATTTTATTACGAAATGGAGTGAAATGATGCGATGTTGAATGGTTAAGACACATCGGAGTTTAAGCGACCAAACCCTTCGCGCGGGAGAAAGTGGGACGCTCCAGAAGTCGTTCACCTTGACTGAATATCTTTGAGAATCCCTCCCACTTATGTAGGAATTAGATCAGTGACGTCATTCACTATTTATAACAACATCTATAACATCTGAACATCGATAAAACCTAAACATTACCTTAAATACAACAACAATATAAATATACAATTCATTTGGTTTGGATTTCATTTTGCAAATTTATCAACCTAAGAAAATTATTTAAAATCAATATATAATCACTAATTCCATCGAAAACTAATCAAAAAATAAATAATTAACTAGAAAAAATAATAAACCTTAAATTACAATCGAAAAAACATGTTAAAATGACCATAAACCGATATATTTGATAGAAACGAAACTTAATGAGAAATGTATATAATCAAGTGAAACAAAAACACAGAGATGGTCACGCGAGTTCACCTCAGACCCCACCTATAGTCACTCTCCCTTTCAGTGTGGCTCTGGCCGTCGTACTAAGAGGACGTCCGTGACCTCTCGTGTGTTCGTGTGTGTATAGTGGATTTAAATAAGGTTTAAAATTTAGGTTTAAAATTTCGCCATGTCGTAAGAATTTGTATGATTTATATATATGTAAAATCGATGTATATTTTATTTTTTTTTAGTTTTTTATTAAGTTATTTTATTTTTACACAAACAATTAACTTAATCTATGCTATTTAAACCCTTCTATTATAATTTAATCTAATTTAACTTAACCTAATCTAGACAGTGTAGGTATACATACAATATACCTAAACAGTGTAATTATTAAACTAAATTAACTCAAAGTCAGTTTACACAACAAACAGATCAAGTTCCTGGTATAATTTCAACATCACGTTAATTCCTAATGTTGTAAGTTAACCTGCCCACTCAAGTCTCGTTACTACTAGGATAAAAAAATCTCAATTCTTGATCGTACTAGAATAAAAAAAAAGACGTTGTTCATACTAGAAAAAAAAACTTAGGACGTTGTTTATACTAGAATAAAAAAGACGTTGTTCATACTAGGATAAAAAAAGACGTTGTTCATACTAGAATAAAAAAAGACGTTGTTTATACTAGAATAAAAACAACAACAACTTGGCGATAATATTATGAAAAATAGGGCCGCTGTTCATACTCAGGATAAATCAGCGGCCTTTCTCAATGGGTAATAGGCGGTAAAACACAGACGTTGGCCAATACTGGGAAAGGAATTGGCACTCGGAGGCTGGCACTGAGTGACTGGTGCCAAATATACGGATTGTGGATATGGCACTGTACCTTGGCAGATATCCATCGGCCCCAGTTCTAATAGACCCCAGTGCTATTAGACCTGTAGCACTATTAGACTCCAGTGATTAGGACCCTCAAAGGCTAGACCCCAGTGCTATTAGACCCCAGTGCTATTAGACCCCAGTGCTATTAGACCCCAGTACCAATAGACCCCAGTGCTATTAGACCCGTGCTATTAGACCCGTGCTATTAGACCCCAGTGCTATTAGACCCCAGTGTTATTAGACCCCAGTACTAATAGACCCCAGTACTAATAGACCCCAGTACTAATAGACCCCAGCATAGGACCCCAGTGCTATTAGGGACCCCAGTGTTAGGATTCAGTATTTGGTATCTCTGCAGTACTGGGGCTCCATATTTTGTCAATACTTCCACAATTTTCGTAAAGTTTTAATATTTTTTCATATTTTTCAGGTTAAAAATTATAAACAAATTCCCCAAAGTTTGTAGATTTTTTTCAAGACTTTGAAATTATATAAAAAGTAAGTAAAAATTTTGACTTATTTTTGGGTATATTTTAAGTATTTTGATAATAATGATGATAATAAAACACATACACACACACACACACACACACACACACACACACACACACACACACACACACACACACACCAAAAAATAATAATAATAATAATAATAATAAAAATAAAAACTAAGAAAAAAATAAAAAAATTAATAAAAAAAACACAAACAAACAACAAAAAAACAATATAACAAAAACAAAAAAAAACACTAAAAATAATGTCTTGTTTAGTGAGGTGGTTAGGGCAGTCGTTGGCAACACTGACGGTGGTGGCGATGGTGGTGGGCGTTGGTAACACTGCTGTGGCTGATTATTCCCCAGACTCTCCGCCGCAGGTAAGTCTGTCTGTCTCTCTGTCTGTCTCTCTCTCTGTCTGTCTGTCCCTCTGTCTGTCTGTCTGTCTGTCTGTGTCTGTCTGTGTCTGTCTGTCTGTCCCTCTGTCTGTCTGTCTGTCTGTCTTTCCCTCTGTCTGTCTGTCTGTCCCACTCTCTGTCTGTCTAAATTTGTGTCTGTCTGTCTAAATTTTTGTGTCTGAATCATTGTGTCTGTCTAATTTTGTGTGTGTGTGTGTGTGTGTGTGTGTGTGTGTGTCTGTCTGTCTGGGAGGGGAGGAGGAGAGGGAAGATACGACTGGACAAACAATGGGCAGATTGGGAAACACATTCGCGCCAAAAAAAATTAACTTAGCGCCACTCAGGGGAGAACTGTCGCGTCGTATCGGATCTGACCATAGAAGAACAACTGTGTATAATAACATGGTTCATTAGTGTACCAAATTTGAATCTAATTGGGTGAATATTAAGCGAGAATTTGCATATATTAAAATTTTTAGTACTTGTGGATATATTTGGAGAACTTTTTAATACTTTTGTGGTGAGGAAAAACTACTTAAACTTTGAGTTATAGTTAGTGAAGGGGTTCAGAGACTTGGGTTAGGTTAGGTTAGGATACACACACACACATGCATAAACATACAGAGGAAAATAACAATAATAATAATAATAATAATAATAATAATAAAAATAATAATAACAAAAATAATAAAAATAATAATAATAAAAATCCCCCCAAAAATAGCAAAATTACATTAGAAATTACAAATAAATACTTTCCAAAACTTCATTTAGTCCAGTAACTCGTATTGCGTGTTGCACTGCCTCAATTACGTGCACAAGAAACGCCACAAGACATTTCCAACGCTATTGCAATAAGTAGCGTGTTAAGGAACGAAAGTAAGAGTATTTTCACTTATTGGGTTAAAAAGTAGCATTTGAAGGTTTAAAAGTAACGATTGGAGTATTTTTTTCGACGTTGAGGTAAAAAGTAGCAAAAAGTAGCGTGTTTAGGGACGAAAGTAAGAATAATCTCACTTAAACATAAAAAGTAGCTAAAAAATAATTAGTTTAAGTAAAAAAGTAACGTTTCAAAGTATAAAATTAACATAACTAAAAAAAAGATGTTTAAATACGAAAGTAAAAAGGTATTCTCATAAGTAACAAAAAAAGTAAATCACAATAAAAAGTAACACACGAAAGTATTAAAAAAGTAACGAAGATACATATTACTTTGACACTTAAATTACTACATAAAATTATACACATTAATTTATATATATATATATTCCTTATTAAAATCGTAATTAAATATTTAGTGTTTATAGTTTATATTAGCAGGTATTTAAATTAGATAGGTTAGAATTAGGTTAGAGTTACGTTAGGTTAGGGTTAGAATTAGGTTAGGGTTAGGTTAGGTTAGGGTTAGGTTAGGTTAGAATTAGGTTAGGTTAGGGTTAGGTTAGGTTAGGGTTAGGTTAGGTTAGAATACCTTATTATCATGGTTTCACCCTTAGCTAAAAAGTTTATTATCTTTCGCAAAATATCGCTAATATCGGGTTAAATTTAACATCTAATATACAAAAAAGACATTTATTATATACATTGTGTTTATATGTTAATGTTAAATGGGTATAATTAGGTGATTAACTAACTAACCTTGATGTAGTTCCAAGCTGCTGGTGTTGGGGAATTAAACTAATTTCAAACACTATTTTTAGCTCCTATTGGCTATTTCGAGTCTTGTTTTATCGCTCACTATATTAATAATACTTTTATAATTAAGTTATGATATTGTAAAAGTTCGTAAAGTTTGGAAAAATGTCAAAATTCGACGAAATAACATAAACTTGAAGTCCGTCCTTTCCCGCCATTTTTGCCCAGGAGTGTGGAGTGATTGTTGACTTTGTTGCTCGGAAATTCCACGAACAATTCTGCAAAACCATATTATTATTTTTATCTAATATTAACAAATTAAACATAACTTAACCTAATTTATTATATTTTGTAATTGTTATTTTATTTTTTTATCAGGTTGATTACGTTTGGATTAATTATTTCTGAAAAAAAAAATTATTAGATTTTTCTGTTCGTGAATCTCATTAGAACATTAGACCATTTATCACGATACGTCATCACTTTAGCTCCTCCTTTTTAATCCCGTCGGTCCTTTTGATTGGCTAGTGTTTGTGACGTCACTTTGCTATGGTCAAAAACAATAACATGAAATTATGGCGAAAACCTCATAAGCCACATATATTATATTGGCCAAAACAGATGAGCTTTTGTCTTACGTTGTTATATATCATTGATCATATAGAAATTACTGTGTGATATAATATGTGTCAGTATCCACACATACAATATAACATAGTAAATTATCTATAATATATAACAACGTAAAACAAAAGCTCACTCCGCTGGTTACCATGGAAACATACCCTCAGACGCCTCGGGGTTGTAGTTAGCCGCGTTACCAACAGATGGCGTTGATCAGATCTCAGTGATAAACATAGGCACTTTCCTGTCTTTCTTTTTATAGTCTTTGATCATATCGTCGAATGCTTATATATAAATTACGTTTATATTAATTAATAACGTAGATAATAATTGTTTTAATGGGATAAATATATAATACGTGAATAGATTTTTATATTGAATGTATGGATCTAATAATGCAAACTCTCTCTCTCTCTCTCTCTCTCTCTCTCTCTCTCTCTCTCTCTCACTCTCTCTCTCTCTCTCTCACTCTCTCTCTCTCTCTCTCTCTCTCTCAGCAGGTGTACGACTACCGCTGCCAGTCAACAGATAACGACCCTGATGCTGATTGTATCTTCGGCATAGCTGGTCAGGACTACCCAACTCTAAGACAAGTACCCGATACAAAATTCACCTGTGTTGACCTCTTACCGGGGATCTATGCTGACCCCGATGCTGCCTGTCAGGTCAGTGTGAGGTCAATCTGTCTGTCTGTCTGTCTGTCTGTCTTTCCTACACAGAACATTGACTTCCTTCCGTCTCTCTCTCTCTCTCTCTCTCTCTCTCTCTCCTTGGCAGCAGGAAATTTCGCTCCAAAAAACAACAAAAACATCATTTTCCCGCGTGACGTCACCAACCCCCCATGACGTCACAATCTCCCATGACGTCACAACCCTCCATGACGTCACAATCTCCCATGACGTCACAACCCTCCATGACGTCACAATCTCCCATGACGTCACAACCTTCCATGACGTCACAACACTCCATGACGTCACAACCCTCCATGACGTCACAAGCGCCATGACGTAGCATCTTTTCCAAATTACAAAGGGCTTTCATCTTTTGTAAATTATTTTGATCCCTTGAACTTTAACCTTTATAACACCTGGTATAGAGGTTATTATTGTCTGTATGTCTGACTAGTTTGAACCCTGAAGCCCCTGTTGTTGTTGTTGTTGATTTTTATTTGTTTATATAAAGATGATTTGATAGATAGATAGATTAAAGTCAGATTAGGGTTAAGTTAGGTTAAATAGCGTAATAGAAAGCTAGTTTGCTATGTGAAATCAGGTCAAAGTAGGTTAGAAGAGACCTAGTTTACTATTATTTGTTATTATTTGTTATTATTCCCTATTATTTCTCATTTAATCACACCACCCGCCCCCACAGGTGTACCATATGTGCCTTCACGATGGCCACGTCCACTCGTTCCTCTGCCCCAATGGAACAGTATTCCACCAGGAGTATTTCATCTGTGACCTGTGGTTCAATGTGGACTGTAACAAGGCTGTTGACTTCTATTTCCTCAATGAATATATTTACAAAGATCCTGAACCCAAGGAAATTAGGATTAGTTATGTTTGAGTGAGGTGATAAAGGTGTTTGAATGCGTTTGTGTGGGTTTGAGTGTGTTTGTGTGGGTTTGAGTGTGCTTGTGTGGGTTTAGATAGTGTTTGTGTGGGTTTAGATAGTGTTTGTGTGGGTTTAGATAGTGTTTGTGTGGGTTTAGATAGTGTTTGTGTGGGTTTAGATAGTGTTTGTGTGGGTTTAGATAGTGTTTGTGTGGGTTTAGATAGTGTTTGTGTGGGTTTAGATAGTGTTTGTGTGGGTTTAGATAGTGTTTGTGTGGGTTTGTGTGGGCTGTGTTTAGTGTGTTTGTGGGTTTAGATAGTGTTTGTGTGGGTTTGATATGTGTGCTGTGTTTAGTGTGTGTGTGTGGGTTTAGATAGTGTTGGTGTGTGGTGTTGTGGGTTTAGATAGTGTTTGTGTGGGTTTAGATAGTGTTTGTGTGGGTTTAGATAGTGTTTGTGTGGGTTTAGATAGTGTTTGTGTGGGTTTAGATAGTGTTTGTGTGGGTTTAGATAGTGTTTGTGTGGGTTTAGATAGTGTTTGTGTGGGTTTAGATAGTGTTTGTGTGGGTTTAGATAGTGTTTGTGTGGGTTTAGATAGTGTTTGGGTTTAGATAGTTTTAGATAGTGTTTGTGGGTTTAGATAGTGTTTGTGTGGGTTTAGATAGTGTTTGTGTGGGTTTAGATAGTGTTTGTGTGGGTTTAGATAGTGTTTGTGTGGGTTTAGATAGTGTTTGTGTGGGTTTAGATAGTGTTTGTGTGGGTTTAGATAGTGTTTGTGTGGGTTTAGATAGTGTTTGTGTGGGTTTAGATAGTGTTTGTGTGGGTTTGAGTGTGTTTTTATTTATTTAACTATGAATTTATAAGTGTTACCTGAGCTACTTTTCAAAGCAACCAATCACGTGGCCTTATTCTCCTGTGGGGGGGTGGAGCTAGAGGGTAAACAATGGTCATGATTGGTTATTATCGAACCTATGAGTCAAAGTACAGCCAATCACAGAGCTGATTTCCTCTTCATCTATTACATATCATGACGTAATGCAAGATTAATGGATAAAAAGTAATATAATTAATATATAATTGACTCTGATGACCTATGACTGCCCCTTTTAATAATTGCGGTGGCCTATCATCACCAATTATAGCCCAGACGACTGATTGCTTTGAAAATATAAACTTGGGGAATTTTCTCTCGACTATAACCCGTCTTTAGGCTCTGAGTCACAACGGTGGACCAGTTACCACTATTTCCCTTTATGTTAACGATTTATTTCTCGTTGAATTGCCAACTATGTGATGTAATTAGGTATTTATGTGTGTTTGCTTGTATTTAATTTAGTAGTTTATTGTAGGGGGAGAATATTTTGTCTTATAACTTTGAAGAGGTGGCTATGAGATGCTTTTCGCCAACCTCTTCATAATTATTTTGTTAGTTTTATTGAATATTTATAGTCAATACGATTAACGTACAAAGAAACACGTATTGGTAATTTTACAAATGTATTTTTTTTACATTATTGGTTTTACGGCCCATATTATGACAGTGCAAAAGCTGTGTTCTCTGTCATATGCCTGTCAATTTGTTACTGCCAAATGCAAGCTGCTGTAGTCATCCCATCTTACTAACGCTAGTATTAATCTGGTAAGAACATTTACGGTAATTTATTAAACTTTTTAGTGAGTTTCTGTCAGGAAAATATAAACTAGTGACGTTCTTGCCTAGAAATATTCCAATGGATAGAGGCAAATGTCACTGGGAGAAAATCGTCTCAAAACATAACCTTTACTTAAAATAAACCGAGACGATAATACCGAAAACTGTAACATTTGGTTATATTATGTAACTTGTGAGCTGGGAGCCAAATTAGAAGTCTCTACCTCCCATATAACTGAATTAAGTTAGTTGTCTCAGAGATTATAGTCATCTGCACCCTCTTTAATCTAACCTACAAAATATATATATATAGTTTTTTTTATTTACTTTATTAATTCGTTCCCAAATCTTCTTCAACTGTTCTTCTGTTCTATCCCTCAGCATTTAAACATATTGCAATTAGTAACTATACTTGTTTCTTTAATGTAACAAGCTTCCCACAAGTACTTATATTTTGCCAAATTTTCTCCTCCCCACTAAAATAAATTAAGAAATCCCGGGAGACTTTGGAGGAAAAAATATCCATGACGAGAGCTTCTATAATACTAAATTTGGCGCCAACGGAGGTAAACAAACAGGACCCATAATGCATCAGTGGAATGACGACCATAATGCATCAGTGGAATGACGACCATAATGCATCAGTGGAATGACGACCATAATGCATCAGTGGAATGACGACCATAATGCATCAGTGGAATGACGACCATAATGCATCAGTGGAATGACGACCATAATGCATCAGTGGAATGACGACCATAATGCATCAGTGGAATGACGACCATAATGCATCAGTGAAGAGGACAGTATTACCAGACCTAAAAAAAATCATCCCGCACGAAATGGCAAAACTTGGATCAAATTAGATATGTTTAAAATATGTCTCAAGCTTTATTTTATTTTTAGTTTAATAGTTTAAATAATATTATTGAAAAGGATTCTTATTCTGTATTCAATAGAGCTTGGATGATTGTGATATTAAATCAAACTTTCTTTGTGTGTTGATATTTATTGTCTTGTGAGCTCAGTATTCAATGTTGATTAAATTTTGAATTAAGTGAAAAATTCTACCACTTCTTTGTAATGTTTTCAATATTGTAATGAAGTAATAATAACGTTGAAACACTATTATAACGTAATATGAGTGTAGAACGATATTATGACGTCATTACACCATTCAAACACTCTGGTGACGTCATATGGAAGCCCATGACATTCTTACGTCACAATAAGATCATGACGTCATCTCAATGGCTATGACGTCACACAGCACAGCCAGCCAGCTTGGATATATTGCTTTTTAACTTCAGTGTCTATCTATTTATGTCTATTGACCTAAAACTTTAGTAATGGTAATGTATTTTTGGCTAATATATATTTTTGATAAATTTAAAACGACGAAAACTAATCTCACGTAGAGAATATTAAAGCTATCCATTAAAAATAATATTATAATTTGTATTTTGTTTTGGTGGTGAAATATTATTGTATTTTTTTGTATTTTCTCGGCTTTTATTTATTTCTTGTGCTTTTGTTTTGATGTACAATAATTTAATTAGACGGTTTTATTAGAAATGGATAGTACAATGTCTGTTATTTACCTTATTGATGGTCGTGGGAAAATTATTTAATAAAAACAATATAAGAGAGAAAATGATAATAACTCATAAATATAATAATAATTAGATAATAAATCGAGAAAATAATTGGTGTAAAAAATGAAACAAGACTATTTGGTAAGGGGATAGTACACAGCGGCAGGGAACGAGGGCCGCCAGGCAGGTGGAGGGAGAGACAGGTCACCACGAGGTCAGGTCTTAAATAGCGGGGGGTTGGCGTGGCTTAGTAGTTGACCCCCGCTCCGTGGTGTATGGCGGCGCTGGTTGACCCAGACCACGAGGCATACACTGGGGAATTGGTGGGGTCGGCTACTCAGGGGAGAAATCCACTACAGGACCTCTGAGTAAGTTTCTCCTCACCGAGTCACTTCTAAACACTGAGCTGAACAACAATATATATATACAGAAAGAACATAGTGAGTTTCTATCGTGAGTGTGAGATGTCCGTCCGTTTGTGTGCCCATAATAACAACTGGCCACACACAAGTTGTAATAATTATAAAATGTAATTATAATTGTCTTTTATATTATTAAATTAACCTAAAATTTAGTTATAAAAAAATAAATTAGATATTGTGTTCGTGGTAATATTTTCAACATAGACCTTCATCCCTACCCACTCGGCCAGAGTTGCCAACTTAGCGACTTTGTAGCTAGATCTAGAGCTTTTGGTTTTTTTCTAGCGACATTTTAGAGCGATTTGCGACTTGTCTCAACTCTAGAGATATCCACAGAAGTCTAGCGACTTTCTGGATACTTTTGGACTGTCCATGACAACTCGGTTTTCCTAATTTCGAGCCATAATATATAGCAACGGGGTTACAGGGACAATACATTTGAACGGGTTGAACTCATAAAACAACTTGGTCAACTCTTACCTGACAACATTCGTGTGCTGCAGTCTATATCTTTTCTGAGTGCCGATGAATGCTTGAAGCCTATTAAATCAGATATACTTGGTTTGGCACACTTATTTACAGAAGATTCCAGCACCCTTACCAAGATTGATTTCCAGTGGAAAAAACTGCATCCCACAATCTGGACAGAAACATCTAACACCCTAAAATTGTGGTCAGAAGTGGCAAATTACAGAGATGCGACAGGTGAAAACCCTTACCATGATCTGGCTGAAGCACTCGCTGCCTTATCTCTTCCGCATTCAAACGCAGATGTAGAGCGCACATTTAGTAATATGAACTTTGTGAAATCAAAATTGCGCAACAAAATGAAACTATCGACATTAAAGGCAATTCTTACAATAAAGTATGGGTTAAAAAGACAGAACACCTGTTATGAACTTCCTAGTGATATTTTAAGAAAGATAGGAACTGTGGAGGCATACAGTTACAAGAGAACCTGAACCAAGCACTTGACATGCTTCCACCTCTACAGTTGTTCACACTACCAAGAGGACTGGGATGTAATTACTATTGAATAATAGGTAAGTGTGCACATTAAACTTTAAAAAAAATAATATTTTTATTTTTACATAATGCATTTTATTTATACTCCGTCCATTATAGTCGGCATTATGAAAATATTATTTGCATCGAATTACTGAAGGGGAGAAATAATAGCTAGCGACTTTCCATGGAAGATTTAGCGACATTTAGCTACTTTTAGGTACCAGCCTAGCGACATTTGAAGACCCGAGTTGGCAACCCTGCTGTCGGCCACTCCGTCAGTTCCACTCCAACAGCCGCAGGAGGAGGAGGTCAGACAACCGTAGGAGGATAACAAACGGCCTTATTCCACCCATTATTCCCTACATATAACCTGTAAGTATACTCTGCCGTTATTAAATATCTATAATAACTCATACCAACCTCGGGCCATCACATACCAACACGGGCCATCACATACCAACACGGGCCATCACATACCAACACGGCCACCATCGGGCCATCACATACCACGGGCCATCACCAACAACTCGGGCCATCACATACCAACTCGGGCCATCACATACCAACACGGGCCATCACATACCAACACGGGCCATCATATACCAGCACGGGCCATCACATACCAGCACGGGCCATCACATACCAACACGGCCATCACATACCAACAGGGCCATCAGCATACCAACACGGGCCATCACATACCCCACGGCCATCACATACCAACACGGGGGCCATACATACCAACACGGGCCATCACACACCACCGGGCCATCACATACCAACCCTGGCCATCACATACCAACTTCGGGCCATCACATACCAACACATGTACCAACCCTGGCCATCACATACCAACACGGGCCATCACATACAAACTAACTAAGAATAAAAGTTGATTTATTAATTTTTTTTAAATTTATCTTATATTAACGTAGATAATTTAGCAGGTTTAATTGAATTGCTTATAATTTTGAGGATAATTTAGCAGGTTTAATTGAATTGCTTATAATGAGGATTTAGCAGGTTTAAGAATTGCTTATAATTTTGAGGATAATTTGCTTATAATTGAATTGAGGATAATTTAGCAGGTTTAATTGAATTGCTTATAATTTTGAGGATAATTTAGCAGGTTTAATTGAATTGCTTATAATTTTGAGGATAATTTAGCAGGTTTAATTGAATTGCTTATAATTTTGAGGATAATTTAGCAGGTTTAATTGAATTTCTTATAATTTTGAGGATAATTTAGCAGGTTTAATTGAATTGCTTATAATTTTGAGGATAATTTAGCAGGTTTAATTGAATTGCTTATAATTTTGAGGATAATTTAGCAGGTTTAATTGAATTGCTTATAATTTTGAGGATAATTTAGCAGGTTTAATTGAATTGCTTATAATTTTGAGGATAATTTAGCAGGTTTAATTGAATTGCTTATAATTTTGAGGATAATTTAGCAGGTTTAATTGAATTGCTTATAATTTTGAGAATAATTTAGCAGGTTTAATTGAATTTCTTATAATTTTGAGGATAATTTAGCAGGTTTAATTGAATTGCTTATAATTTTGAGGATAATTTAGCAGGTTTAATTGAATTGCTTATAATTTTGAGGATAATTTAGCAGGTTTAATTGAATTGCTTATAATTTTGAGGATAATTTAGCAGGTTTAATTGAATTGCTTATAATTTTGAGGATAATTTAGCAGGTTTAATTGAATTGCTTATAATTTTGAGGATAATTTAGCAGGTTTAATTGAATTGCTTATAATTTTGAGGATAATTAATACCAGGAGACGAGTTAACAAGATCGTCCAGACAAGGTTCTTAAGACCCTCTATTTGATAGGCCTAGTTGGTATTTGATAGGCCTAGTTGGATTGTCTCCTTGAAACCACGTGAAGAAATTAAATTAATAAGATATAAACCAAAAAGTAAATATTGATTAATTATTATTATTTTTTGTCGATAATTCTGGTTTAATTTAATTCTAGTAGGTATAATTATTAAGGTAAATTAATATCAGTTAAATTATTTAAGAGTTATGAGTTAAATTATTGGATTATTTATAAATTGTTATTTTATGCCATAATGGGTAATTAATAAGTTAAATAGGTGTTAATTATATATTTTTGGATGCTTTAGACAAATATATTTTTGTTTCTGTGGTAGATGGGTATTTATGGCCATGGCCACTTGTACTAGTAGCTATGGCCTTGGCCACTTGTACTAGTAGCTATGGCCATGGCCACTTGTACTAGTAGCTATGGCCTTGGCCACTTGTACTAGTAGCTATGGCCATGGCCACTTGTACTAGTAGCTATGGCCATGGCCACTTGTACTAGTAGCTATGGCCTTGGCCACTTGTACTAGTAGCTATGGCCTTGGCCACTTGTACTAGTAGCTATGGCCATGGCCACTTGTACTAGTAGCTATGGCCATGGCCACTTGTACTAGTAGCTATGGCTATGGGCCACTTGTACTAGTAGCTAGTGGCTATGTACATTGTACTAGTAGTTATGTACATGGCCACTTGTACTAGTAGAGTGGTTATGGATATATGCACATATACTTGTACTAGTAGCTATGGCTTATGGCCTACTTGTACTAGTAGTTATGGTTTTGCCACTTGTATTAGTAGTTATATGGCTACTTGTACTAGTAGTTATGTAATAAGTAATACTTGTACTAGTAGTTATGGTTTTGGCTACTTGTACTAGTAGTTAAGGGGTTATGGCTACTTATATTATAGTTGTAGCTATGGCTACTTGTACTAGTAGTTGGCGGTTCGGCTACTTGTACTAGTAGCTATGTGATATGGTCATTGTACTAGTAGCTATGGGCTTGGGCCACTTGTACTAGTAGTTATGGCCTTGGCCACTTGTACTAGTAGCTATGGCTATGGCCACTTGTACTAGTAGTTATGTATATGAATACTTGGTTGTAGCTATGGCCATGGCCACTAGTAGTGCTGGCCTTTTTGTTAGTAGCTTATGGCCATCAGGTCAGTAGTTGCGGCTATTACTTGTACTAGTAGCTATACAGGCCACTTGTACTAGTAGCTATGGCCATGGCTACTTGTGTTTAGTAGCTGGCGGCTGGGGCCACTTGTACTAGTAGCGGTTTTGGCCACTTGTACTAGTAGCTATGGTTATGGCCACTTGTACTAGTAGCTATGGCCTTGGCCACTTGGTACTAGTAGTTATGGGCTATGGCCACTTGGCTAGTAGTTATGGCTATGGCCACTTGTACTAGTAGTTAGCGGCCATGGCCATTGTACTAGTAGCTTGCCTTGGCCACTTGTACTAGTAGCTATGGCCATGGCCACTTGACTAGAGTTATAACATAATACTTGTATTAGTAGCTTGCTGCCACTTGTACTAGTAGCTATGGCCTGGCTACTTGTGCTAGTAGTTGCTATGCACACGGTACTAGTAGTTGTGGCCATGGCATTGTATAGTAGCTATGGCCATGGCCACTTGTACTAGTAGCTATGGCTACACACTTGTATTAGTAGTTGGGTGGCTACTTGTCTAGTAGTTATGTTATGGCCACTTGTACTAGTAGCTAGTGGCCATGGCCACTTGTACTAGTAGTTGGCTTATGTACTTGTATTGTATTGCAAATGGCCACTTGTACTAGATAGTGTAATATGGCCACTTGTACTAGTAGCTATGGCCATGGTCACTTGTACTAGTAGCTATGGCCATGGCCACTTGTACTAGAATAATTGCCATACACTTGTACTAGTAGCTGTGGGCCATGGCCTTGAAGATGAGGAAAATATAGGGTAAATGCTAATTAAACACCAATTAAACTATTAAAAACTAACCTAACCTGACCTGACCTAACATAAGAATGGAGGAAACTGCAGCAGGCCTATTGGCCCATACTGGACAGTCCTGTTTACACCCAACCCCTATTGCTCATACTATCCATCCAACCTGTGTTTGAAGCTATCCAGCGTATTCGAGTTAATGATGATATTTGGTAACTTGTTCCACTTGTCCACTACTCAATGTTTACCTATTTCACGCCTAAATCTAAATTTGTCTAATTTAAAACCATTGTTACGAAGTTAGCCCCTGGTTGGATAGTTTGAGTACCTTTTGTATGTCACCTTTGTTCAGCCCTGACTTCCATTAATACACCTCTATCATATCGCCTCTCACGCCACGTCTCTTGAGGAGTGTAAATTAAGATGCTTTAACCTGTCTCTGTACTCAAGGTTCCTAATGCCCTGATTAGTCTTGTCATTCTCCTCTGAATTCTTTCCAAAGATTCTATATCCATTCTGTAATACGGTGACCAGAATTGAATTGTGTAATCCAGGTGTGGTCTCACAAGAAGATACAGTTTTAGATGACCTCGCTAGTCTTGTAACTAACACTCCTTTGTATGAACCCAAGTACTTTTATAAGAAACATAGGAAAATAAGAGTCTGCAAAGGCCGGTTGGCCTGTGCATGGCAGCTCCTGTCGAGAGTTACTACCACTCTCTATCATCCATGAATCTATCCAGCCTTCTTTGAAACTTTCCAGAGTTCCGCACTTACTACAAAGTTGCTAGCTTGTTCCACTCGTCCACCACTTCATTTTTGAACCAGTTTCTTCCTATCTCCTCCTAAACCTAAACTTATCCAACTTGAATCCGTTGCTCCGAGTCCATCCTGCTCGGATATTATAAGAACTTTATCTATATCCCTTTATTGATTCCCACCCACTTAAATACTTCTATCATATCTCCCCAGACTCTTCGTCTTTTCTTGGGAATGCAAGTTAAGTTTCTTTTAACCTATCCTGATATGGAAGGTTTCTAGTCCCGGAATCATTTTTGTCATTCTTAGCTGCACTCTGACTCCAGTGAATTGATATCCATTCTATAATAGCACCAGAACTGAACCGCATAATCGAGGTGCCTAACTAGCGCAAGATATAGTTGCAATAAGACTCTGCAATTCTTGTTACTTACACTTCTAGATATAAAACCCAATACAGCAATACGATGTAACCGGAACGAAGCAATGAT